ATAATAATTGAAAATTACTGAAATCGCAAATGTAGTATTTTCTTTCTAATCTTTACGTTAATTTGTTAGTTGCTATCAACGCGTCATTGCGGGATAAGCGACCCTCTTGTCTGGACGCAGCTAATGAACTCCCACTGAGGTGAGGTAAATGCGTAGAAGCCCCAGCACTTGGACTTGGATGCTCCGGGCCGGCCGACACCTTCACATGACCGTCGGCGGGGTGGCCTACCCAGCAAGTAGGCGTTGTCATTTACATCAAATCCGTCCCAAAACTCAAGTACAAGTTGAGCTACAGTTGGTGCAGTTAGCACTGTGTGTATCACCCTGTCTTGTGTGATAATAAAGCAAGCTTTCCCTAAGTCTAAATACAAGTTTTTTTCCAGCATACCACTTTCTTTTATTTGGCAATACATCATTGGCCACATCAACAGCAATTTGAATGATTGTCTTTGCATCTCCATTTAATTTTTAATACAATTGCATAACCTTCAGTGGTCTAAATCCACATACTAATCTAGGAGACTGAAGGATAAAGGATTAAAATATGTACAAGCATTTGCTCACTTTTTAAAAAATAAGCTTAAGTCTATATATCTATGTATCACCATGTGTGAAGAGCTGTCAGCTATTTCACTTCACACAATCTAAACTATACTCGCTAGCTCAAACTGGAGAGAATTTCTGAATATGGGGAGCTGGGTTCCTTACTAGCAGCTGACTGGAATGTAGACAGAAATTTTTTCTTTTGGATATCACAGGTCAGCTGATGGTAAAAGTCAGCAGCAGAAAGACAAAGAAGTTTTCGATCTTCATATTCACATCGTCCAATCCGAGACTGCACATGGGGGAAAAGTGCTCGTAGCCAAGGGTTACAGGATGCACTTATGAAAAAACAGGTGAGGCACCAAGTTGCCATAGGAACTGGCAGAGTCTGTGTAAAATTTGATAGTGACAAAACAAGCCACTCTTGTAAAAGGCTAAGCTGTGACTGGGCCACAGCACACTCAAAAACCTAAAAAGAAAAAATTACAAATATAATTTTGTGGTTGATGAAATAAATGGATTGGTTGGATTAAAACATATAACATGTGAGTAGGGAGGTATACCTGAAAAACAACACCTGCCAGAAGTCTTGGATGAGGTTGCTGCTGCGAAAGAAATTCACCAACTACTTTGGTTAATACTTCTGAGGCTGGGAAGAAGTCAGTTAAGAGGTTGGGCAGAACAGAACACACTAATTCCACTTCTTGGGGATAACCTTTTTTAATTCTGAAATTAGAGGGGAAAAGTCTTGCTTAAAATATTACGATAATTAAATATGTAATGTCAGTAAGATTTTTGCAACACAGGTATAGAGTAATAACCTGTCAAAAAGAGCTGATGTTTTCTCCATAGCCAAAATAAGTTGTTCAGGGTCGGTGGGTTTTAATTGTTTCTCAATTTCGCTAATTCCAGTATTAGTTTTGCTCACCATAGTTTGTCCTTCATGCCCTGTAGGCACCGAAAAAAATGGACAACAATGAAAGTCATGAATACTCCTTAGAAACTGAAATTATTTATACTACCTTACCCATATACATGCAAGACAACAGAAGTTGCAAATAATTGAAAAACACTCCAGGATTAGGATCAGCAATGCTTTCTACAACCAAAGTTGTAATCTGATCTAGGGTACGGACTGAGAGTGCCCCTGATTGTGAGACAACCAATCTCTCAAGACCCTGTCAGTTTCAACAGACATCATACATCAGACAGTTGTTTGATTACTAATCAACATAGTTTATAATATAATAAGATAGAGCTAATTATGAGCTTACCTGCAGAATTAAACGCTGAAGGGTCGGTGATATCCTACTATTCGGATTAGCAAAAGTTATTGCTTGAGGTAAAATAATTGAAACAGCTTGTTCTAGTGCATCGATCTTACATCGACTGAAGTTATCCAATAGATGAAAAGCCAAGGACCAAAGAATAATGTTTGGCTCCTCATTCACACTGGAAAGGACAAGGTAATTGAGTGAAACTCCACAATAATAAAAACAAGAATTCTTTTGTTTCTATAACTTTTTGAAAATGAAGTTATTTACGTACCTCAAATTAGAATTAGACACTAGTTTTTTGCTAATATATTCTGCTACTAATATAACAACATTGCGAGTAGTCTCAAGCAGACTTGGATCAGCAGAAGACGGAAACTCTTGTCCACTCAGAATTGCATCATTGTCTCCTCCATCAGGTTTCTTCAAAATAAAGTAAGGGTCAGAACTTCCACAAAGATTTCAAAATTATACTGCCATTTTTGTTTTGCTTTGTAATTTTACATAATTTAAGAAATAAAAGCAAACCTCAGTGTCTCTTTCTCGTTCAGCCAGTAGACAGCCTTGCAGCATGTAAATCAGCCCATGAAGTGAGGCTGTTACAGTAGGTACAAAACTTGAACGGAGAGTCATGTCAAGTGTGCGCATGATGCGATCATAAACAGCAATGTCCTGAGAGCAAATTAGTATTGTGAGTAGCATACATTTTTCAAGCACCCAATTTGATTTCCATAAACAAACTTACAGGCTGGAGAACAGCACAGGCTTTACATTGACCTAAAATAACATATTGCTGCAATATATCATCCTCTACAGGCTGACTTTTTGTCAGTTCTAAACATGTCTGAAGTAGCCATTGCCATTGTGACTGTTCAGTGAACAAATCAGAAACTGCTAAGACTGAACATAAAACTTCATGTAAAGGGCGACTAGAACCAGACATGCCTGAAAGCTGAAAAAATGTGGTAAAAAGAAGTACTGATAAACATTAACAACTACAATTACAGCATTACAGCCTCTCAATATAATACCTGAGGTTGAGTCCATTGAGTACACAAATCCAAAAGAAAGTATAAACAAGAATTGACATCTACTCCACTGGTTTCTAAAGCTGTATACCTCTTCATAAATGTTTCAATGACTAAGACAAAAAGCATTTTGATTTCATACAGAACTACAAAATAACAAGAGAACTAGAATAATAGAAATTACCTGAAGTAGAAAATTGCTTTTTACATACACCGTCCTGAGATCTCTCTAGAGCATACTGGAGATACTCGACAGAAACCTGCCCATAGCGAAACCTGGAAGGATAGTAACAAAAAAATTCAATAATAATAATAACAAAAATTAAAATTGAAAAACATAAATTAAGAGAACTACCGCTTTAGAGAAACAAAGTGTTCTAGGTTGGGCCGATCAAATACAGAGAAATGTTTCTTGCCATGAAGTCCTTCCTCTTTCCAAAGAAGGATCTGCTGAATAGCATGAAGTTTCCCAGCCGGACTAAAGGAAGGAAAGGATGATGAAAAATAAAACAATACTGATAATTACGCAAGAAATGTGAGAGGAAAAATATAGTGAACACTCTTGGCACGATTTGTACCTGTTGGAAGTGAACTGAAAAGAAATATCTCTGGGACAGTGCATAAGCTGACCAACACTGGGATTACCAGGTGTAGGCAATGATAAGGTCTGGAGCAGGAGAGCAGTAATTGCCTCTATAACGGCACTGCTAGCTTCAGTTTCAATTGCTACATCTTCAGACGGCATATTTTCATTGCTTGAATCAGCACTTAATACACTCAATAAAGACATCCATGTCTCTTCAAACTGCTGTCGGCTTGTCCAGCCTAACAAAATCACTCTACAACCAAAAGTAAATGAAAATAACACCAATAAAGTTCATTTAAAGTTGAAATAAATAACAATTTAAGGAAGTGTTAAGGACTTGAGACACAAATCCTGAAATTGTTTTACCTAAATATGAACTGTCGGAGAATATCAATGTCTTGCAAAAACTCAGTGGGTAAGGGAGGAACTTGAGTGTTATAAGGGCCTTTAAGAGTGACAGTCCAACCATGTTTCCATACTTCAGGGGGGGTCAATACATATGAATTCAAAGGAGATGTCCTTGATAGTTGAACAATTAGTTTTTTAATTGGGGCAGACAGAAAAGGTGGAATATTTTGGCATACACGGTTAAAACAATGTTTCTCAAGCCATGTGACAAGAATCGATATTTGATGACAAGCATGTGCAATATTTAGAGCTTCTGGTTTTGAAAGAGCTTCATTTAATCCTAAATAAAAGAGAAAAAAAGGAAAATCTACATTAGTTACTGTAAAAGGTAATGCTGAAATAATCACAATAAGATTAATAGCACAGCAGATATCATGGAAGCATAAATGGCAGACAAACCATCATTGGATATAAGAGGAAGTGGCTCCCCTAGCGTGGCAAAGTGAACAATAGCAGAAATTGCAGAACAGGCAGAGGCAAGCCGGGTGGAATACTTTGGATGCTCTAATATAGCACCAAGAGTAGGTTCACAGAGCACCCGACTTGCACACGCTAAGCCTAGCTCCAAACAGTGAGGCTGAGGGGCACGGAATTTTTTATCCATTGGTGAAATAAGAGTTCCTCTTCCAAAATTCAAAGCACTAGGAGGATCATGTGTATCAACAGACAAAGATTTATTTTTCTTATCTGACCTTAACCTCTCAGCCTTGATAGTAGATCGCTCAGCACTTTGAGAAAACTGACTGTGTATTGCCTATGTAAAGGACAAAATTGATCAAGCAAAAATACAAGAAAACAGAAACCAGCCACTTAACAGTGGGAAAAGTGGTAAAAATAACAAGTAAGAGAATTAAATAGACTTATGGCTTACCTCTAAACATAGAATTGCAAAAGTCACGAGATCCTCAGCAGCTTCCGATGGTACAACTCCGCCCAGTTTATCAAGCGAATAAACATAACTGCTTACAGCTGCTGCTATGCAGAACAAAGAGTCAATTTTCAAATCATTTGCCAAAATTTTCAACAGAGTCTGTGAATATGCCTGTTCTGCATTTGTTGGAGGACGTCCAACAGGCAGAAATACCTGAACAATTTGAAAATTGAGGGATTAATATTACACAAACACTAACATATTGATCAAAAAATTGATTTGTAACTACCTGATGGTCTTTAGGTACAAGTTCAGTCAGATGGTGAACCCTTTGCATGAGCACCATTCTAGAAGCACGGTATAAAGGAGATAACATGTCTTCAATATTTCTCTTATGTTCCAAAAGAATAGAAGCCTGTGTAAAAGTGAAGAAAATTGAATTATAATTTAAGAGCAGACCATCACTAGAATCAAAATGTGGAAACTGTTCAACCTGGAGGGTCTGATGGGTACCATGACGAAAGCAAAGTTGTAAAATGGAAAGGTGAGTGTCTGGGCTACTCAGAACAGACACAGCATCTTCAAGGTCGAGACGACCAAGGAGGTGAGTTGACTCTTCTACTGCGACTCCAGTACAAGATGCTTGACTACATCTAAAAATTAAAAAACACCATTAATTCTCTAAAATGTTGAGAAAATTGCAATATTTAAGTAGACCAATTTGTTCAAATGCATACCTTAATCTGACCTGACTGAGATACCATTCTTTGTCTAATTTAAGGTTCTGTAATGACACAGGTGAGAGAGGACGAACTTGATCTGATTCAAGAGGTGATAATGCCAAACACTGTGATCCTAGCTTGTTCAGGATACTGACCAAACCACTTTGCCTAGAGCAAGAAAAGTCAGAGAGATGATATATATGAAAAGATTCAAAGTATCAGTTTTAAAATTCTGAAAATTTGATACTTACTTTCTGTCCAAACAAGAATGGCGAAATGAATGTAAGATATCACGTAACTGTTCTCGTGTGAGCTGCTCACTAACTTGAGCTGATGGTAGAGTGAGTAAGTACTCAGCCTGACGAGTACACAGTTGAGCAGCTCGTCGAGCCACTGCAGGATGTGCATGACCAACATAATGTTCTGCAAGCAGGAGTAATAGAGACCCCCTACATGAGGGATGTACACCCTCCAAGCACTTCAAAAGACCTATAATGGGTTTAGCCTAAAAATAAAAGTAAATTTAAAATATGTCATTTTTCTGATGAAAGAAGATAACAAAACACGCAAGCAGAGAAAAATGAAAGTCTCCCAAAATACCTTATTTGGAGGGAAGAAATTTTCTTTTACAGCCTCCAGCATCAAACTACTGTGTTCAGGGCTTCGATGCAAGACGGCAATTAATTGTTGAACTGGAAACTCTGAACTTAGCTCAACAATATTCAACATTTGGCTTTTTAAAAACCAAACTAATTGCTCAGATTCACAAGAGTTCTCACACTGAAATCAGACAGCATAGCAGGCAATGATCAATCTTAAGCTCAAAACAACCAAATACAAAGATAAAAATATTTTGATGTTAGAGCTCACCATAAAATCACAGTAAACAATTATGGCACCTGTACGAACAAGTTCCACATTTATACTGTTACTTGTAAGACATGGCTTACATTCATCTTTTTTAGAGGAGTCTTTAGCTATTGATGGAAGAACTCTTGCCCAAAATGCATGATTGCCATAGTTCAAAAGAGTCAGTAAGTAGCACCACAAAAACATTAAGAGAGGACAGGTAGATGCAAGCTCAAGGAATACTGCATTTGCATCCTCTAAAAGAAGACTGTCTTCAGTAGCATGTCCTGCCACCAACTCAACAGCAGCACGACCAATTTTTCTGTGGCTTCCTTCAACGAAATAATAAATTAAGTGAAAGAACTGGAGAGTTAATCCTACAAAACACAATAGTCGGTTGGGTAAATAAAATATTTAGAAGCTGAAACATGAATATTTACCTGATTGAAACATGTGAATGCAAACCAGCAAAAAGTGTGCTAAGAGCTCTTCAAGGTAGTGACAGTCTTTAAGCAAGTCAGGAGATGAAGCAGGATCCATAACAATACTATCTATCTTTTCTCCAACAAGTCCTATTACTCTTAAAACCAATCTGGAAGGCAAACAATACAATTAGGGAAAGAAAGCAGGATACTGTAGAAAATTTGAACTTATTGCACTTTTTATCAATAATAAGAAATAATGAAAAGTATCGTTTATGCGTACCTTGCAAAGGTAAGTTCAGGTGTGCTTGATGTTAGGGGTGTTGTAGCAATCGCAGCAACATTTAAGGGATCAGGGCTAACTAAGTGAACAGCATTTCCTCGTAAAAACAGAGCTGGTAGGACAATCTCAAGTTCCTCAAGCCTAGCAAGAGTAGCATCCTCCTTTCCTTGAGCAACAAGAACTAATGTGACTGCCAAAATAGTTCCAAGCCACCTAATGACTGAACGTATTGAACTATCCTGTAATATTAAAAAAGCTTTCACAATATTCTAACATGATGTCTTGTCCATAGACAAATAAAAAAAGTAAATGAAAGAAACCTACAGATTGTGGGGGAGGAGAAAAAAGAACTTTCAGCAGTGGATCAACTGGCATGAAAACACTCGGTGCTAAGCTATGCAACAATAACTGATGGAGTGCCTTTTGGGCATCACAAGAGTCCAATTTTAATCGGCCACATGTTAATAAACCTAAAATAGCATCGCACACTTGACGAGACCAGCGTCTCCAGCGCTCTTCACCCTCCGGCCAAGTTCTGCATTCTACAAGGACGATGCTAAGAAGTTTCATAACCTGAAAGTTAGAAAAAATAATAGTATTAATGAACCTCCTCAAACTCAACCGAAAAAATTAATTTGGGCTTGAGCATACCTGGTGGTATTCAACTAGTCTTAACAACATGGCTACCATTACTTCTCTCTGAGTTTCCAGCTCCTCAGCGTCAATAGTTCCAGAGCTTAAAGATGCCTTGGATATGAAACCATGCTCTACTACTGGTAGAAGTGCAGGAATACCTTAAAACCATGCCAAAGTGGAATAAATAATTTAAAATAATAACAAAAAAGAAATTTCCAGGGACTTTACATTGGCAATATTTTTGACTAGTTTCAGAACTCACAGTGTGTTAGAGGATTTTGTCCACTTGCCATTAACCCATCGCATAGCTGTATAACTTTTGGTATACTGGTTATGGACTTGGAATGATGCTTTTCAAAGGAGAGTAATACCATAAAATGGAATATGCACATTATAAGGTCTTCTGCATTTCTACATAGCATTAAAAAAACAAAAAACAAAAAAAAAAAAACAACTGATAAAATTAAAAATTTGGGGGAAAAAGATAACTTTACAGTGAGTAAGTAGATAGGAAATAATTGGTTAACTGAAACTTACAGAATTTGTCCCTCTTCAATGAACTCAAATTGTTTTTGCACAAATCCAATGAATACCATTTCAGAATCAAGTAGACAATAATTCACTCTTAGCTGGACAAGCTGAGTTAGTAAAGACAACACTTTAACTTGCAGCTGGACATCACTGGTAACAGTATATTGCTGAAACAATTTTTCATTTCATTTAAAGAATACTAAAAAATGCATTGTTAAAGTAATACTACTTTGTTAATTCAAATAAGCTAGAAAAGAAGTAAAAACAGTGGTACATGAAGGGTACCCAACTTTTCTGATGGGCATACAATGATTAGAGATTGAATGGATGACAATTGTAATATAAATATATAGTCCAAATCCGGCAACATAATGAATTTTTGAGAAAAAGTTTAAATTTGGAGGCCGTCAACGATTATTCTAGGTATTTTAGCCATAAAAATATTTGATTAAACAGTGATTGGAAAATGACTGGGGCAGAAAGTGTACAATGGTTGGAAATAGTACTTGGTAATACATCAGAGTAGTATGGCAGAAATGTGAAATAGCATATCAAATATATTTATGCTGTACCTGAAGAGATTCTATGACCATTGGCTCAAAGAGACGAATATATGATGCAAGGAAAGTTGTGTCAGCCATTTTGCAGGCAAGTTTGGAGTCACTTTGATGGCGAAGATTTTTATTTAAGCTGTGGGAGAAAAGAAGTTAATGAAACCACTAATGATCTCTGGTTCATTGTGTACCATACTCGCAAAAATATGCTCACATAGTAGCATGTAAAGTCTCCAAATTTTGTGACTTAGTAGCAGATGCAGCAGCAAGAAATTGACTGAGTTGCCTGTACGGCTCTTGAAAACTCACAGAAAAATAGCCACTGCATTTATCATTAAGATTCCCTACACTAGGTACTTGTTGAAGAGGTCCATCTTCTGACTTAAAATTATCCCAAAAAGATACTAAGTTCATACCAACCACACATTTGAGCAACTGAAACGCAAGAGAAGAATGTTAAACAAAAAAGACAAAATATTGTTACTTAACTTTAAAACATACCTGTGTAATGTGAGCCTAGTTATGTAGCATTCATTCTACAAATTAAATCTAACCTGACTGACACAATGAACAGTAGCAGCTGGTGACAGGCTCATGGTACTCCTCAAATACAACAAAAGTTCTTCGGCAATTCTCCCTGCTTCATTGAGAGTCATTACTTCTAAGAGCTGAGAAAGAACTTTGAGAGTTGAGCTGACTAGTCCCACAAATTTGTCACACATATCAGTTTCAAGGGATGTCTGTAATAGTCCCAGAAAATCATGACCACACACTGTATTAAGAAGCACCCTTATGTTCACAAGCTATAACTAAAGTGTTTATTCCATTTGAATTTCAAATACCTTGTAGTTTGTATAAGATGACCGTAAAAGCTCAAAAAGTTTTACATAATGCTGATTGTTTACAAACGAGCCAAATGGCGAACTCTTACTGCTTTTTCTCTCCTCAGTTTTTTCTTCCTTTTCACCTTAGAAAAAGGAAAGAAAATCAAAGTAGCTAGGTAGCAAACGCTTATAATCAACTAAAAATCAAGTCGTAATTACCGTGAATAATATTTTTTATGGGTGACATTCCTCGCCCACTCTTAACATCTGCTGACAGATCACCTGGAATTGTTGAGGTTTTTCCTACACTACTACCATGTCGTTTAATGGGAGAGAGAGAGGGAAGTCCAGGTTTATTGCCTGATGCTGTGGGTTGAGAGTCCTCAAGAATATGTGAAATTATACTTAATGTGCGCATTACATGGAGTAGAAGTGACTCCGCAGAAATGCTGACCTGAGCAAATAAAAGAAGAGGCTGAGAAAAGACCTAACTAACACCTGCAAACTACCAAAATATGGACAAAGCAATCACCTGCTTGTCCTTAAACATGGACCATAATTGATTTGAATGAGAATTAGATTCCAATTTCACTCCAGGAGGTGGGTTTTCTACAGGGTGCATATTTGCTAAAGCTACACCACAAAATAAATTTCCTGTAAGGGTATTCAGCCACTGTTGTGCTCCCAGTTCAAGAGTGGAGGGATTAGTCAGTAAAAGTGACAAAACATTTTGCAGCAGACCACTTGCAGCTGAAAAGCTGCTTCCAGTAGAACCATCACTGTGAAGATTAAAGATGATAAACAGGTTAACACTACACTTCATTGCATTGATGTAGGTACTGTATATATTTTGAAAGTAGATAGATATTTTTTCTACCTTGAAGATCTTCTCACCTGAATATTCGCTTAAATTCACGTTTAGAACTTAGTTTTGGAGCAGAAAGAGTACAGATTATACAATTCCAGCTCTTCATATGCGTAGCTGGAGAATATCTCTCTGCCAATAGAGAAAGCGTTTCACAGCATCCCATCTACATAAAAAGAAAAACAGTCATACTTACATTTTTCAATAATTTTCTGATAAGTATTAACTGAATATGGGTATTAGCCATTAGAGAATGCTTTCTAAGGCTTAACTTACTGTCAGATATTTTGATGATGACTCCAGTAATAAAAGCGAAAGAGTATCAACAACTCTTGATAGAGCTGATTGTACACTGAAACCCTCTTCTGCCTTAGGACCTGGAAAAATAAAGGAAACATTCAGAGTTTAGCAGGTTTTCAAAATCATGATTATGAAAAATGATCTAAATAAATTACACACCAGCTTTATTCCAAGCATTAAATGGTGGAGTAAGATTATCCAAACGAGGAATTTTTTGGAAACTTCTTCCATAAGTTGATGATGATAGAGGTTCCGAATCCTCCAACAATTTGTGAAGCTGTGCGTCACTCATGTCACTAGCAGCAGTTATAACTTCATTAACATTATGACGGTCCACAGGGTAAAAGAGATTTGGAATGATTCTGTAAGGCGGAAAATCAGTTGCTGAAAAGTCAAAGTCTGAACATAAAATTCTGTTCTCCTTAAAAAAGTAGGTATTACACATTAATACCTCACAATGGCTTCAGCAGCAGCGTGACGAACTCTATTGTCATCATCCTTCAGGAGGTCAAGCAGTACTTCATGGAAAATTTTGTCTTGGAAAGTTGATGAACCAGTTACATAGTGAATCACAACATATTGAAGGTCACTGACTAGCTCTAAGAGTTTTACCTAAAAGAAATTAGAACTTAAAATGAGTTGTTTGAGAATTACTTCTTTATCACCTCAAAATGCAAGAAATTACTTTTACCTTTACAAGCCAATAAGGGTTTTGGGCTAGTCTACAGAGAACTGGTAAAATTGGGAAAATCTCCTGACTGTCCCTACTCTTGAGAAGCTCAGAAAAACATTGCGATAGAGCTACAAGAGTTTGACGGCATGTAGTTGAAGACTCATCCTCTAAGCCCTAGAATTGTAAAAAAATAAAAATAAAATAAAAATCAGCAAAAATAAGGCTAGGCTTCAGAAACACCAGAAAAACAAAAGAATAAAAGTATGTACTGAAAACTGGTTACTTCTTTAAAACTCTTCAATAGGGCTGGCATTATTGTTTTAATAGATAAGAAAACAAGACACTTGGAAAACTTTAGTCTCATACATGATCAATCAAGGAGTTCCACACAGAAAGTGTTAAGAGATCAAAATTAAAGAAATTCTTACCTGAATGAGATACTGCATAAGCCGGGGAAGGGCCAGGCAAGCAGCTACCTTGGCGTCAGCTTTGCGTTGCCAGCTTTGCCAGTTACCCCCAGATTGAACCAAAACTGAACGGACCAAGGCTGCCAGAAGTGCACAGCATATTGCTCGTAGCTGGGGGTCTGTATGTTTAGTGAACAGAAGCAGCTCACACAAGGGCTGTGAAGAGTTCCCACCTAATTTTGAAGTTGAAAATATGTATTAATATCACTAAAAAGTCTGTTTGGTGTTCACTCACAGAAATATGTTTGAAAGAAAATTGCCTGTTGATGAGCGACGTGAAGGAGATATAGGATCCTTGTCTAAATAAAGTTGGAACACATTCGGATGAAGTTTTACAATTGCCGCAACACAATTGAGAGCAAGGGCTTTAACACTAACTCGAACATTGCGGTCGGGCATTCTGTAGCCCGGGTGACCAGTCAACAGAAAGGAGGTTGCAAGATGGCGTGCACAATAAACTAAAGGAATGGAGCCATCTGTCAAAGATCCAATATCACACACCTAAAAATGGACAGAAAATATTTGATTGCACAAAGGACACAAATCGCTTCTTTAAAAATAAACTGGGAGCAGATTCCAATCTGTTATCTGTTAGTCATAATACCTGATACTTTATTTCAGTTCGATGAGCACCTGGTGATGGACTTGATAGTGAAATTCCACTTACAGAAGGGGGTGGAGTGATTTCCTTATTCATCTCAATTTCCTGCTCTAGACATTCAAGCAAATAAGTTTCTCTAACATCATCTGGTGAGGAGTCGGTGGAGTGTACATCTGCATAAGGGTCAAAAAAGAAGACATTATAGAGGAACTCACACCATAATAATTAGGTACAGTCAAGAGGCTTCCGTACCACCAGCAGAAGTTACACAATCCCTTTCTGGAATTGGGGGCAAATCAGGTTCACATGGATCTGCTGCATCTAAGAGTTGTAGCCTGGCCACATTTGCCTTTGGAGTACAAGAAATGGCCTTATTTGTTTCCAGTGACATTCCAGACCCATCTTGAACCCATTTCTCTAATAAAGGAGCAGATACAGCATCTGACATGGCAGTTGGTAAATCTGAGTCAAGATCTAATAGAGAGTTTTCATCGCAAGGTGCAATTGAACCTGCCACACTAATCTGACCTGCAAACAAAGTTCAAAATAATACAATAATATGTGATAAATAAATAATTTTTCTTATTTCATAACCTGTAATACTAACAATACCAATGAAACTAATAACAAGAAAATTAACATTCATATCCATTTGCAGTGTATTTGTAAACAATGGACTGAGCAATAAACCATACCAACTAACTACTACAAGACCTACTTAGGGAACGGCGTTGTATGTTAGATGGTTCACAAGGAGAAGCTACAATTTGTGACCGAGAGATTCCATGTGGCGAAAGAAGAATTGACACAAGACCAGTAGGAGGTGAGGTAAGGAGTTGATGCAGTAGTTCCAAAGATGCATTGACTACATTATGATCAGTATGTTTGGAGAAATAGATGCTAAGTTCATATACCTAAAGGGAGAAAAAGATTAAAGCACAAGTAAGATGCAGGACAAAATTTCATAGTTGTATCAAATTTCATGTAAGAACTAATTTACTTGAATCATGTAATCTATACTGTATGAAGCACGATTATGACCTCTCCTAACACCAAAACTTCCTTGAAGTTCGCCTTGCCCAGTTTGTTCCTCATCATAATTAGTAAAATGGGGTAAAACTGCTCTTAAGCAGCCTAACAATCCAAGAATTTCTGAAACTGCTTGATTTTCCTTGATAGGAACCACAGAATCTGAAATGACAAAATAAAACATACCAGTAAATAACATTTCAGTGTGTTTGAGCATTTCCTGATTAGAACACATACCAACAAGAGTATTTAAAGTCTCCATTAAAAATACTTTAGGTTTGCGGCAATTCAGACATATGCTCACTATACAAGTTGCTGCTGTTCTCCGAACTTGGGCTGATTCTGATGACAGATTTTGGAGAAATGCTTTCAGGAGTTCCTATTAGAGCAGAGAAGCCATGAAGCTCTAGATCATTTGCAATATAATTAGTTTCTCAAATACCATTTTTAACTTATTACCTTCACATCTTTGTCAGAAGTAAAAAGACCAAGTGCCTTAAATATTTGAGGCATTGCAGTGGCAAGAGTTTCTTGTACAGATTCTTCGTTTCTTTTACTAATCTGCATAAGGCATGGCATCAAATTGTTTACATATGGTTTACCCTTTTGTGGCCTGTAATCAAGTTTTAAAAGATTAAACTGAGTAATTCAAACAGATCAGAAACAAACAGGAAAAAGACACCTCTTACCTAATCATGTGACTGAGGTACGCAAATCTCCAGAGGGCAGCCCTCAAGCTACGAGCATTTCCATTACGCTTGATTTCTTTGTGAAGTTCTACCTGTACTTTCATTACATTGCTGTCCATAATAGCTTGCTAAAATGGATGCAAATAAAAATAAATTATAGACAGTATATCCTCAAAATTATGAGAGAGAACATGACAAGTTCTATGTTTTTACCCTGATTATCCGGTTGAGACTCTCATCAGCAGTCATGCGAACATCTGAGTCTGGGTCATTGCACAATTGTAACAATGATTCAACTGCAAAACTTAACACCATTATATTGACACCTCCTGTTTTCAGCCCTGATATGGAGCAAAATGTGTCTGCTGTTGTAACACATAAGGCTATTTTTTCTTTTCGTCTGAAATAACCCAAAAATTGTCAGCAATGAGTGAAATTTTGCATGATACGATAGTTTTAAGCTATACATATATATGACACATTATATAACCAGCCAACAACGTAGAAATACAGAACGTTTATGTTATAGTTACCCAAATAAAGAAACATAACCTCACATTGCATACCTTGGGGAGATTTCTTCGGTAATGTGGACAGGCAAGTGCTTTAAAGCGTCCCATGATTTCATGAGCTTCTCGAGCGTTGCCATTTAAAATAATACAAAGTATTAAACTAGAGTTGAATTTCATTCATGTCAAACATAGGTAAGTGTTGTTAATATCAATATGTACGACATTATGAATCAGCGCCTTGCAGATTGTGTTGACATTATGTTGACAACCAGACAAAACAAGCAGACAAGCAGCAGACGAGCAGATGTAGCAGACGGTTCTAGACAACAAAGCAACGAGAACATCTATCTTTCTTTAAATAATAGATGTTAATTATTTATTGGATTCTGTTACTAGAACGAAAATATATATCTTGCCACGCTTCAGAAACATTATTTTTGAGCGTGGTTGGCGCAACCCCACGCCAACCCCGCGGGAAATACAAAGTCGACGTACCACTGTTACCGCCTCTTCTCTTGCCTGCTCGAAACATTCAAGAGGGGAAAAAAACATTTTTAGACAAATTCGTGCACTACGTGGTGGTCCTTAAAAGTGGCCCCAAGAGCGCTTTCTGGTGGCCAAGAAGGTCAAAAGGTGGTTTTGAAAATGAGCCAAATAGTGTATTTCGACTAACATAGGGAGAAGAATAGCGGGTAGAACTAAACGTTACCGATTGGTCGAGAGCTGAACGCCTCTACGTCACGCCGTTAGTGGGGGGTAAGAGCTCGGCCAATTAGGAACATTTATATTCTACCCGCTATTCTTCTTCCCCTGTTAGTCGAAATTACACTATTGGCAGTACAGCCTACGGTCGTACCAGGTGTAACTGAGGAGGTATTGCATACTCAGTAGTATGGCAGCAGCGGCTATGGCCCCTTACGGGCGTGAACGAAAGAGTTATATAACTCTTTCGTTCAAGTTACGGGTGTAAAGAGTAGACAAACCCACAACACTTGCGTATTCACATTTACACCCGGTACTGTCGTAATCGCTGTCTGTCAACTCCCATGTAGCCCGTGCTTTGAAAAGTACGACCTCTTATAGGCACTGCCGTTCTGCCGGGGAACGCCGAGTACAGCCTAGGCCTAGAGCTGTCAAGCACCATGCCGCACCTTGCTGTTAAGTCTGTGTAAATACTCCAGGCGCGCATAGACTGGCGGTGCACTCTAGGCGGAGACGCCCGGAACCTCGGTTGTCCGGACTCGGCGGCTCCGTCGACTCGCGAGGCTCCTCCCCTGCCCGTGCTCGGCCCGGCCGGCAGCCACAGCGGCAGAGGCCGGAGGAGCCCCTTTAGTAACTTTTGGCGACCATCGATTTTTTTTCCCCCGCTCTCTTCCTTCCCCTCGCTTTTTGGTTGGCGCCATTGTGTAGGGTCCGTTTGTCTTGTTTCCCTCCAGGGCCGGGCCGGACGCCGGACATTCGACGGCAGAGGTCAACCGGTTCCCGCAATACAGGGTGGCCGCTCTGCCCCGTTGTTTTAAAAAGGTAGACTAGCCCGCCAGCACCTACCTCTCCAGTCCCCTCCCACCTCCCCGCTCCGTCTGTCAGCGGGCTAGTCTACCTTTAGCTAGGATAACATTCCCTTCGACTCCGGGGGTGGGGGTCGGGGGAAGCCCCATTCAAAGACGTCGTCGCATCGATATTCGTTCGTCGGAGCGAAATCTAGGTACTCGTGGAAAAGCATAGTTCTTAAACACCTTTCTCAAGGGCACTCTTGGCGGGTGGAGAGGCAGCTCCCCACCACTCTCCCGCCCCGTGCCTGGCAGCCATGGCATAGGCAACCCAACGTACGTGCGTCATGTCTTAGCTTTGGACATCCGGTACAGGCCATCGACCTCGCATTTCTCACTTGGTTATAGTGTAGCGAGACTTGTGATTGCACTCCAGCGCTTCCGTTTTACATTCCCTACCGCGAAGAAGGGTCCCCGTCATGACCAAATTACCTGCAAAATCTGCGTACCACAAACGGTGCCGGAGATATTTGCATTTCAAGGTTGAAAGTGTCGTGTGCTGGTGAAGTCGAGGGTGGAAGGGTAAGAGATGTCCACGAGTGGTTAACTTTGAAGACTGGTTCGGTGCCAACTTATGGATACACAACAGAAAGATAATTAAATTGCCTTTTTTTTGGGGGGGGGGGGGGGGTCGCCCTTTTGGGCTTTCGGGGGTAGAGAAAGACTGCCGTGTGGAAAGCTAATCGTAATCAACACATGTCCCTTGCAATATCACACGCTCGACCAATCACAAGTGTACCACCTCAAAACGTTCCCCTGTTGGCGTTCGATTTGGGGTGCAACGTGTTTGCTCGGTTCCCAGCTCCGGGGTCGGCCCAAGAGAGCGTGGGGTCTGTCAACATGGCTTTCGCTCCCACCCCCGTATTGCAGGACACATTTTCCTTCCTCTCCAGGGTACGACGGACGCGGGGTCACGACTGGGCCGGGCCGGGGCCGGGGGCAGCCAGACAACGAGGCGTCATCACAGCGGCTTGTTTGACCAACATCATATCATATTCATATTCTCATCCCTCCTAAGATGGGTGTACACACAGACGCATACGTCAACACTGAGGAAACAAGTGTTTTCTTCTAGGTGGGCTCATAGTAATGGAGCGCGGGGCGTTTAACTAATACTCGACGGAACGGGACATGGATGGTAAACTGGACATACTTTTTTTCTTTACTTCTGTCTACATGCTTCCCGCTTACGCATTTTTTTTTATTTATTTTTTTGTAATTTTGATGTTGAGAGAAATCCATGAGGTATGAGTAAGGAAGTTCATAACATGTTTGGATATTTCATGATATAAGTAAGAGAGAGAGAGTGGTAGAGTTTTGTCTGACCCCCTCTGCCCCATCTAGCCGCTGCCTACCTCACAGGCTCAGCGGCGCGCGGCCGCTACGCACGCGGCGCCTCTCCCTGGCTCCGGAACCGTTGAAAATATAGATGGTGGGTGTAAGGGTAAGGGAGAGCTGATTGTAGTACAGGGTTCAAGCTTGCCTTGCAACTGGCCTAGGATAATGTGCACCTATAGAGCCTTGAGAAAAAATAATATGAACATCAGAGTAGAGAAGTTGTCAGAATTACTTGGGTAGATGTACGCCAGACCACGTACCACGTCTCGCATTACAGGCTTATTCGCAATGGAGCGAAATGCCTTTAATGTGCATTACACTCAGCGCGTCCGCTATGATGTGCGGTAAGTGCGCATTCCGCAACACTGCGACGTGCACCAACGAACTGTACTCCTGCGAAGCTGATGAGCATTCGCACGGTCACCACTGCCCTTTGACTCCCACGTTTTAGACAGTCCCGAAGCCTGTTCTATCAAGGTCAAAGTCCCCTCCCACTCCTCACTCTCGCGGTTTTAGGTCCGTCTGACGAAGCAGGGGAGGGGGCGATGATGCGTGGGTTGCCTACTTTCAGGGGTTTTGTCGGACAAATTGCCTACCCACCCCAAGGAGCGATTTAGGCCGACGGGGGTGGGGGGTCGCCCCTTCGCCCGCTCCCATAAAACCGCGCCTACACTCCCTAT